GGACGATACAATCCTGGTTTCCGGCATTTAGATGTCTGGTGTATTAACTTTTTGATTATAGGAACTAGCAAAAAAGCGAAGTTTTACACAAAAGAGCGCAAAACTGCCTTTATTGTGAAACTACAAAATAACAAATCTCGATATACTTCGCGAATTTTATTTTGATTCCGACCTACGTACGTTATTTGAGAGCTATTTACAAAACGTAAAAAGAATTATAAATGTTCCATCACAAAGAAACTTGCCGTTGCAACGATTTTTGGATTTATATTTATCAGGTTTCTGTCGCGGTGAACTTTTATTTAATCTTGTCTCGGTGACAGGTTATGGTACTGTGAATTTATAAATCTGTCTACTGATGTTTTTGAGATTCTTCATAATTTGTTTTTAGATCTGATGTACATTGTTTTTCTGACCATGGGTGAGTTACTGCATTCAACTGAAGGAGTTTACCAATCATTACAACACAGCATATTTATATTCCTGTGGAATCATTTGTCGCACTGTATGTACAGACGTTTTATGTAAAGTTGTTTTAAAAAAAAAAAAACACTATTATAATCAAAGAAAAAGAAGACTTCAGATATAGAAAAGCAGCACAAATACAGTGCAACCTTGGTTGTTACACTTAATATGTTGATAAAAGTTGTGCGAAGACCGAATTGTTGAATTCTTTGTTTTGTTTTTCAATAAACTTTCGATAATACGAACTCCTTCAGAGGAATCCTTGGTAATGTTGTTTTAGGCAGGGTTGTATTATTTCTTGCAGAAAGTTTTATCGGTTAACGTGACTTTCTGTTAGCACGAACAAGAGGCTGGTTTTTTTTTTTTTTTAATCCGGTATGTCACGTCAGCATCTGTGGCTTAGGCGTTGTAAGCACGCTCAGTAATGCTGGGGTGTAGGTCGTTGGTTCCCTACCTGGTGGAGCCGGACTTTTTTCAAAAATGACCTTGGCTTCCAGGTCGACCCAGCCTTAAGTGGCTACCGGGTGCAGTCCCGTGAAGTAAAGGCGGCCGGCGTGATGCTGACCACGCCACCCATCTTGTGCCGATTGGTCTATAAAAAATTGGTCTAGCCTTATATGCCCTAAAGGCGTGGAAAAGGGTCCCTTTACGTTACTTTACGTCTCATTTCTTCAATACGTTTACGGCTCTCATCTGTCTCGATGAGAACTGCTTTGTTCTTCTACCCTTCCATGGTATTCTTTGCATTCTTCCTACAAACCACATGTTCTTATTTACTGAGATTTGTTTGCATCTTGCTAAAATACACCTTTGCCATGGCGATTTTTTTTTCTATGTTCTGCAAGTCATCTTGCATTAGATGTTATGGCTTTTCCTAAATACAAATATACTGTGTGGATTCTTGATAAAAATCGACACCACTTTTTTTTTTTCATTTTTTATTCTCTCTTTTTGTGTGAGTGTGCAGACCTCTTGGAAGGTTTTTTTCTCTAGAAAACTTGTGTGTGTTCAGTGTAGTGTTTGCATGTATTGCATTGTAGGTATTTTTGTATGTGTCTTACAAATGTTGCCGTTTGTTAGTGTTCGTGTGTGTTTGCGAATGCACATACAGTTTAAATGAAACAAAATCATTCTTAAAATGCAGTTAAGATATATAGTGCTATATAAAGTCACTTAGAAACTAGTGATTGCTTTATGAACTTCAATTTTTGAAATATATTGTACCGTGTTAGGTACCTAAGACAAAGGACGTACATATGTATCAAAGTGTCAGAGTTTAAATTGACACCAATTGTAATCAAGAAGCAATGGACATTATATTATATTTAACAAATTTAGTAGTAGTAGTACTTTTACCCCACTAGGACATCACACAAGCGATAAACACCTGATGACACAAAGTGCCACCATGTGTATGAGGATCACCCGTGGAGAGGTCCCGGAAACCGCGTTCAGCCATTAGGCCATATTTATGGCTGGGTTATATTGCGGCCCCTGGCAAGAGCCAGGGAAGGGCTTTAAAATAACGAAAAATTGCATCCCTCAAGGGAATGACTAGATAACAAATTTATGTTGTACTGTTTAGATGACATCTAAGGGAATATATCTTATTCTGTGTTATGTGAATTATGAAAAGACACACACAGTTAATCTACAGCCATTGAACATGATTTTTAAAAAAATATGTTTTGTACTGTTTTGTTGACATCAAGGTTTATCTGTCTTATTCTATGTTTTAGAAAGAACTGGAACTCAGGTGTGATAGACCCAAGTGGACAAGACGTATATTTACTTGAATTAGGTCTACAGAGCATTGAGGCATATGGAGCTAGAGGCATATTTTATAGATCAATGGTTCTCAACCTTCCAAATGCCGTGACCCTTTAATACAGTTTCTCAAGTTGTGGTGACACCCAACCATAAAATTTTTACTTCCTAACTTCAGTAAATGTGTGTTTTCTGATGATCTTATGCGATCCCCTTAAAGGGTCGTTCGACCCCGGAGGAGTCGCGACCCACAGGTTGAGAATCGCTGTTATAGACTAACGAGCACTCGATAGGTGATAGCCTCAAAATTACTCCGGCTGTATTTACTTTCTTTAACATTACCTGGTACCCACGTTATTCTGGATCGAACTGGGAGCCAAGGCTAATTATGAAGAACGACAAATAATCCGACAGGATGAAGATCTGAAGCTTTGATCTTGGGGCCAACCTGCGGATGTGTGATCGCCATATTATTACCGCTCCCGCTTGTATTACTACTGTTTGTGCATATGGATACTGCCCAAAATGGACTCTTAACTTAACAGTGATCTTATCATTATTTCATTATTGCAATTTTGACACTTTTTAATTTTTAATGTTTGGTATTTAAATGAAACAAAGAATACCCGTGTTTCTTTACTTTAGATGTCTTTAGTTTTTTTTTATTTTTATTTTAAAGTAGTTATTAATATCGTCGTCGTCATCTTCTTGTTCTTCGTCTTCTCCTTCTCCGCCCCTTCTTCTTCTTCTTCTTCTTCTTCTTCTTCTTCTTCTTCTTCTTCTTCTTCTTCTTCTTCTTCTTCTTCTTCTTCTTCTTCTTCTTTTTCTTCTTCTTCTTCGTCTTCTTCTTCTTCTTCTTCTTCTGCTCTGCTGCTGCTACTGCTTCTTCTTTTCTTCTTCTCCTGCTGCTACTGCTTTTTCTTCTTCTGCTGCTGCTGCTTCTTCTTCTTCTTCTTTCTCTTCTTCTTCTTCTTCTTCTTCTTCTTCTTCTTCTTCTTCTTCTTCTTCTTCTTCTTCTTCTTCTTCTCCTTCTTCTTCTTCTTCTTCTTCTTCTTCTTCTTCTTCTTCTTCTTCTTCTTCTTCTTCTTCTTCTTCTTCTTCTTCTTTTCTTCTTCTTCTTCTTTTTCTTCTACAGTAACCCTTCAATAGTGATTGTCAATCTTTGTTGTGGTTTACAGCTAAGCTGCAATATATGGATTGGTGTCAGCATACGAACTGATACACGCAGTTAAAAATAGCAGATTGTGAAGAGGTATGATCGCCCACACCCGTCGGCAAGGCACTTGATGATAATGATTATAAACACAGGCTATAAATCCTAACACAGCGGGCCAAATACTTGTTTGAGGAATAACACATAAGAACATTGGGGGAAAAAACTCTATATTAAAAAAAAAACACTGTTCTTTAAAATGTAATAATTATTTAAGCTATAATTAAAATATTTTCTCAAAAGAAAAATTGTCTTATCTGTGCATTTTATGTATACAATACTGTCCTTTCCAGTATGTCATAGTTTGTCTACTGATCTGAGTTCAGTGTGCATAGTCTTCTGAATGCAGTCAATCAGTTCTAATGCAATCATGCAGAGGTTCTATATAATACATGTGGGAGCATAAATGGCTGCTTGATAAATTCTTCTTCTTCTTCTTCTTCTGCGTTCGCCATTTGAAAGCGATTGGCACGTTATGATGTGGTTTACACTGAGGCGACATTTGCGCCTTTTTTGTGCAAAACATCCGATTTCACAGAATCCTAATAAGTCTCTTTTGATGACATCCTTGATAAGAGGTAGTGGGATAAGAGGGAGTGGGTCTATTAACCCCCACCACCTCAACCCCTGCCACCAAAGACTAACCAAATATTGTTATTTCTAATGTTATTCATACATATCACAACATTTCTAACAATATATTATATTTATTCAGCTGACTACTACCAACACCACTACTACTACTGCTATGACTACTACTGTTATTATAAAGCACTAAAACAAGGTTTGTATCTCTTGCGTCACCACCCCCGAAATTTTTTAATAGCGCTGACGCTAATTCTCCTAAAGTTTTCTTTATGTGGGCGCCTTTGGTCTGAACACATGTCCTATCTAGACTGAAATCAGCATTTCATATTATGAGAATTTGAGTCTTTTCACAGCATGATCAGAATTGTCACTTTCTTCCACTTGCCAAGGGCTTGCAACAACTTCCCAAGTTGGTGTCATCTGAGGCAAGGATGCAGTTCTGAAGGAAGCAGACTTTGAATTGTGTAGGCTGGTATCTAGACCTTCAGATGGCCCTGAGTTACTTATGCAATTGGCATTGAATATAAAATATGTTATCCCATGTTTGCTGTCGTCAGAATTCTCATTTATGTTAACATTGCCTGAAGGCAGTTCTTGTACTCCTAACTGAACATCATCAATTCGATCACTTTTAATAATACTGGGTGACTTTTTATTGGCCTTCGCTGGCTGGAATGTCTGTGAAGGGTTATTACAGTCCACTTCTGTTGCTACACAACTTCTATCAGATAGGTTGCTTTGATTATCTTGTCCAGAGCTAGATGGGGACATACCAGTGGGTTCGTCTCCTTTCAGTGTTGTCACATAGAAACACCCCACCTCACTAACACCCATCTGTTTCACGCCAGTTTCATCTGAGGTACTGAAAATGACAGTCCTGTTGGAAATATCGCTAGAAACTTCTGAAGCAATATTAGTGCTAGGATTTTCTAGTTGTAGAACAGACCCCTTCAATTTACATAAGTTGCTATTCTTGTAAATAAATCGACTGAAACATGTGCATAGTCTCATCATTCCCTTTTGTGGTTATTTCATTGATGCTTCCGTTGGTGTCGAAAAACATTCCTGGCTCTTTCTTCTCACAGTTCTCGGTGTCATCTTGACTGTAAGATGTTTTGGAAATTATCTGAGTGTCTGTTAAACATTATATGGAAGAGAAACAGAAAGTCCGTTTGAGTAACAATAAAAATTAGGTTAGTAAAGTGCAACTTTTGACACCATGTTAGTATAGACCAGTGTTTCCCAAACTTATCTTGGTCGCGGCGCTTTTTTTTCTCCAATTTAAATGTGTCCACGGCTCCCTAACCTAAGTAAAAGTATGACTATTCATATGTAAGAGATAAAAAAAAATTTTAAAAGAAACAAAACTCGTGTATCTTCGAATATTTCGCGGCGCCCCAGTGAAGAGGTCCCGGCTCCACCGGGGACTGCGGCGCACAGTTTGGGAATCAGTGGTATTGACTCAATGTCATATTGATCATCTTTTCTTCCCATGACATTTTCCTGTCTACTTGGGAGCAAAGGCAATCATTAAAGCATAACTGAACTATATGCACATTTGAACCTAAAACCGTCAAGTCGACAGATAATTGTCTATTCTCTTCCTTACCACAGCTTCCCCCAAGAAAACAACCTTATTGGTTTATCCCACACACTTCCTATTAGAGATGGTGTAAATTCACCAAGGAAATCTTTTTCTTTGCGTTCACCGGCTGTAAACTCCGGCAATAGTTTTGGGTGTTTATCCATCTCCTGACTTTAGTCTTGTTTGGGAACCTGTCGTTTGCGTGTCCAAGCGTTTCACTCATTTGGGTTATTTGTATACACTCTTGGTGTAGATAGATGTATTCGGATTTAGAGGGATGTTTCCAATTGGTCGACTCCTACCACATGCATGTTGGGGAGGCAGTGGGTCTTGTCCTCCCCCCCCCCTTCCCCCAATGGAGCGTGGCACCCACACGGGGTGGGGGCGGGGGGAAAGGGGGGGGGGGGAGAGAAAAACTTTTAAAAAATCCATTTTAAATACGTGGACAAGTATATAAAAAATGCATTTTCCCACACTTTCAATTCTCACTGTTTATAGACTAGATCACCTCAAACAATTCCCCCCACCCTTCCCCACACACACACACACACACAAATACATTTTTTATATACAATTTATTTATTCACCATATTATTTTGCGTATGTTATCTCACGCATGTTTTTATTCTGTCTGTAGCCTTTTTCATTAACCACTCAGCCTGATTTGTGTTAACTTCAACCTTTATTACCTTATATATTTCAACATTTTCCGAGAATCTTCTTCTTAGAGTATATGCCATTTGGCGCAGGTATTCATGACCTAGTTGACCATGTATTTTAGTGCACATTCATGGCAAGGCGCAGACGCCGTCTGGAGGTGACAGGTTCAATTCTCGGCACGGTAACTATAGCTTTCGATTTTTATGTTGTCTAGTGTGTTCTTCTATCTTTCTACATCTTTCTATGAGTGCCGTTCACAATACTTTCTGTTACTTGATGTATTCATGACTGTCCGCCATCTTCTGTCTCGTGTACTTTCAATTAACTTTGACACAGATAATGCCCCATGCCATAATGTGAAACTGTCCAGCATCTTTTCTCTCTGCCTACCTCTTCCTCTCCTCCCCTCCAGTTTTCCTACTGTCACGATGTACTCCAGTTTTTTGCTTCTCATCACATGACCGAACAATGTAGACTGTATCTTTCTAATGTAGGCAATGAGTTCTCTTCGTGTGCCAGTTTTTTTCAAGACATCCTCAGAGGACGTTATAATATGTTTTTTTTTTTTTTTTTTTAAATGATTTGATGTTTGAGGGTTGAACAATGGATCAACATAATGGCACAAGGGTAGTAACCCAAAAATTTTCCGTTCTGATTTTTAATCAAGTTTGAGTCCGAAGTAGCTAAGCGCAGTGCATGGGCTCCATAGCACCGGCGAGGATCCTGATATATTTTAGGTTGATTTTTAACTCCAAATTTTCCATGGACAGCGTCGTTAGGCTACTCTTTTTTATTTCCAACTTTCAATTGATTTTTTTACGTGCGCAACAATACACATCTCACTTACCCAGAGACCAGAAGTCCACTTTAAAAAAATCCTATCCTTCACCGTGGCCTGAACCCGGGACCTGTAGCACTCGAGGCGGCAATGAATGGCCTCATCAAATATAAATGTAGCCCTGCTTGGAGATAACTTTTGACCGATACGAGGATGGTCTAGAAAGACTTCAGTTGTCACATTTTTGTTTGCAAACAGTAAGTGTAAAAAGTAAAGCGAAGATCCCTTATTACCCCTAAGGCGCATCAGATATGGGCAGAGCGTCCCATATTTTTACAGACATTCAATCGGCACTCGGTCAGTATGGTCAGCATTACGCCGGCCGTCTTTACTTCCTCAGGACAGCCATCCTGGTACCCATTTAAGGCTCGGTCGACCTGCGACGTCCCATACCACGATAAAATCCACGCAGCCCGCAGTGGGTTTCGATCACGGTACGTTTGATTACGAGTCGAACTCGCAACGCCTTAGCCACGGACGCCGTAAACAGTAAGAGTAAGTTGATTTTAAAAAGAAACAAATTGTAACAAAGAATGGATACCTGCCTGAGGTACATACTCAAATGTCTGAGTACAATGTAAATTGCTGGCAGGACACTCAATATGAAGAGTTGCTGTAACTGGATACGCCAGGTCGGGATTTGGCTCAAATGGCGGCACTTTGTAAGATATTATTCTTTTGTAAAGAATATCCATCTCCTCTGGCCAATATTCTTCTGACTTCCAGCTTATTTGGTGTGTATCAGATTCATAAGAGACTTGTAGGAAGTAGTTGTCTGTGGTCAGTTTTTAATGAAAGAAAGTAAATAAAATTACTCTTTGAAAGTTACAACAATAATTTTTTTTAAACTAATATTTGTACATATTTTTTTTTTTTACTCCTTCTAAGTCGTCCCCATGTGGGTTGCAATTTTTTTTTAAGCCCCATCCAAGCTTTTGCCGGCAGCCCTAAATATAGCCGGGCCGTAAATATGGCCTAACGACTGAACTGAGTTTCTGGGACCTCTTCAAGGGTAATCCTCATCCGCATGGTGGCACTTTGTGTCACCGGGTGTTTATCGCTTTGTATAATGTCCTGGTGGGGTACAACTTACATACATACATACATACATACAAATATTAATTAAATAATGCCTGTGTAGAACATAAAGAATTAAATGGTATGACTTATTCACTAATGTAGAGTTCTGAGACAGAACTAAACTATGTAATATCATACCATATATATATCAAGAAAGCTGACCGTCCAGGAAGTAATGGCAAACTACTGGAAGTAAATTTGCCTAGAAAAACCACACAGCCAGAGGCTGTTGGGGTTAGTTCTGCAACGTCCTGTAAATGATACGCAACTAACTTTGTATATCCTTTGCAAACGACACAAGTCAGTACGTCACTTGGTCGTTTATTTTATCATTCGCAGGCTACAGGGGTATTCATTCTGAGTCACATATTTAACACATTGTCTTATTAGGATGGCGTGTGGCTATAGATTCGGATTTTAAAACAGAGTTTATATATATATATATATATATATATATATATATATATATATATATATATATATATATGTTGTTTAATATGGTTTAGAGTTCAAATATATATATATGTTGGACGGTCAGCTTTCTTGATACCACTGTCGAAACCAACGCAAGGCGCATGACCCACAGCTGGGATCGAACGCGGCATTACGAAGCGTTCGCATCGACTTAGCCACAGAGCCGACGCAAAGGATATAACTCCAGCGAAATGTGACAGGTGGGGCTTCAAAATAAGGAAAAATTGCGTCCCACATGGGGGTAGGGGGGCGGCGACTTTGGTCATACTATGATAATAACGGCAATTAGTAACTATTATTTCCATTTTACCTGGCTCAATATCCGGTCCGTTTTCAGTTGTGAATACATCTATGTTGCCTCCTGTCCGGGCAGATACAGCGTAGCGGCTCAGTTTATGAATATTCAGCATTGTCTTTTCACCTACAAATTAAAACAAACACACAAATATATTTATAAAATACGTTTTATACAACGTTAATTGTGAAATGAAAGTAGATCTCTTAATACAACAATAAGAAAGAGACAAACACCGTTCTTTGGCCACATAATGCAAAGAGAGACATTGGAGAACATCGTGACTGGAAAGATCAGTGGAAAAAAAGGGTAGAGCAGACTAAGAGATATGATGCTAGATGGGCTGAAACAATGGCATGGAGGGATATCATCAAGAGACCTGTTCCAGGCAACCAGGGATCGTGATATGTGGAGACGCATAAACGCCTACGCCATTTGGCAGTGCACATGATGATAATGATGATGACAAAGTTAATACAGCTTGCATCTTCACACTGAATGTCAGTAGCAAGTCTTTGAACAAAGCGTCGATGGCAGACAATATCGTTGGGTCATTATGACTTGTCAGTATTTAACGAAGCTATTTGAAAAACAAACGTGAACATTAACAGGTAAAAACAAAATCGAAGCATGAAATGTCTACCACGATTTCTAAATGTCAAAAAACAAAAACAAAAAGAGACAGATTCAGAAATGACGATATCAGGAAATACGTTGGGAGGGTAGGTAGGTAGTTGTACCCCACCGGGACATCACACAAGCGATTAACACCCTGGGCCGCAAAATGCCATCATGCGGATGAGGATCACCCCTGGAGAGGTCACAGAAACCCCTTTTAGCCGTTAGGCAATATCAATGGTAGACCATTATCTATGCCCCGGCTATATTCAGGGCCCCTGGCAGAAGCCAGGGTGGGGCTTCACATAACAAAAAATTGCATCCCACATGGGGAGGAGTTATTAATACCAGCTGGGAGGAAACCAGTGGTAAACTGTATCAAGCAATAACAGATCAAATGATCTGGACATGTGTCTAGACTACCACAAGATAGTTCACATCGAAAGCCATTTCATTCAGACACAAAAAAGTGGCAAGCCTACGCGGTTGGTGTGTCAGACACATGTTGGACTTTAATCAAGCACCTGCCCGGCTCTCTAGCGGAATTGGCTAAACCGGATTTCGCGGAGACCGGGCGACGTACTCCTTGTGGTCCGGGTTCAGTCCCGGGGGTAGGCAGGAAAGCCACATTTTCTCCCAGATTTACGGTATTTACAATGGAATCAAGGCCGAAAGGTTGCGATATCCATAATACCGAGCCTAAGGGTTAACAACTCAAGGCTTCTGGATACTAAAACAAACAAACAAACAAACAATCAAGCACCTCATTGCTTGGGTATGCGGTCAAGGCCGTGTGAAACGCACATACACACACACACACTCTCTTTCTCTCTGTCTCTCTCTGTCTCTCACACACACTCACACACATACACACACACACACACAATATTTGTCTGTTCACTGAACCAAGTGTTTATCGCGTTCATCACGTGGTACCCATAATTAGCACACAATCTGTTTTGTAGCTTCTTGCAAACAAGCTTTCGAACTGTCCCTGGTACGACATCGAATTCTTTCCCCAGTGAACGTAAACTTTGACAATAAGAAAAGTATTGCTAGGACATTATTATTTGCAATAGCAGTATTGTTAAGAATACTTTCTTGTTCAACCCTTTATGTTGTCTGTTTGCACTGTTCTAAGTTATGAATGATTATGTAACCAATCAATGTGAATACTGTATTAGACGAAAAGATCTCATTGGTGAAGTAGCCAAGCTGTTTGCCTCGGGCTCTGAAGGTGGGTGGTTAACTTCGCGTACTTGCTGTTCAATTCACAAGTGTCATTTTTACGGAGACTCCTTGGGGTCGTGTCTGGAGGAGCAAGGGGATTCGTGCTCTGTGAGAAACTCTCGTCAAACAGCTAGCTGTTCTAGATTGAAAGCTCGAGCTTTCTGTGTTAACCCAGAGCAACGAAGAAGATCCTGTTTACTTTAACTTTACATTTCACACTTTCTGAGACAAGGTAAATTAAGAATCATGAAACAACCACTGAAATGGAGCAAGATGAGAAATTTTAAGAGGAACCCAAGAATGAATGTTTGATGAGAGAAACCGGAAGAGTCGATACACGATGTTGAATGATTTGCACAGGATAGAGCTTTAAGGAGTATGTGATATATGAATGGCAGCAAAAGGATGCTAATAATAATTTATTATTAATATTTAATAACGGATCACATAACATGGTCTCGCGCGGATATACTTTCTGGGATATGCAAGAGTGCGAAAGAATGAAAGAGCGGGTTTTCTGATTACAAAAGCGATAGCTACAGGTACACTCGTACTGGATACAATAGACATTCCGAAGATCATTTATGAACGAATACTTATAGAAGACACGAGGGTTATATGAAATAGTATGTGTAAGCATGTGTGAGAGAAAGATTGGGTGTAGATCCGCCAAGGAGGAGGAAAACGACCTGTATATAGTTAGTGTGCTAAGGAGAGAGCATCTATTCATTGATTCCTTTGCTGCAGGAGACGCATAGTCTATGGGTTGGCCCGTTGTGCTATAATGTAGATTCTTAAATCAGTAAAATCAATAAAGTGATAACCGAATCAAGACATGTCCTTCCAAATATTAAAATATACGACAAATGTGACTTACTGCAGTTAGATATGACATTGCTTGCGACATGAAGAGTACCATTGAGATTTCCTCTATCGTCGTCTAAGGTTACAAAGACTGCCAGACGAACTTTAGCTGTCTTAAACTTCATTGGAGATTTCTCCCAGTTTGAATACTGGGAACGACTGCGCTCTAGATATTTTAAATTAAACAAGAAGCGAGATAAAATTAAGTTTATTTCAACATTGCAGTAACATCGGTTATTTGATAATTACCATTTTAACCATAAAGCATATATATCTTCTTCTTCGTCGTCTTCAGCATCCCAGTTGTAGATATCACTGGCCTCCATTCATCTCTATGGATGCTCTTCTCTTTCCAGCTGGTGACACCAAGTATGTGTTGGTCTGTTTGGATAATATCTCTCTATCGTCTTCTTGGTCTGCCTCGTGATCTACGACCAGTCAGGTCCCTTCTGTATACAGTTTTTACCTCTCTGTTATCTGACATTCTCCCAGTATACCAAACCATTTCAGTTTACTAGCCCTCACGGTGGCAGTGATCCATGGTGATTTAAACAGATTATGAATTTTGTTGGTGCTTCTCACTCGCCATTCTCCGCTATTTTCATCTTTGATGGGTACAAAGATTTGTCGTAAAACTCTGTTTTCGAAAATTTGCAATAAAGCTTCCTCTATTTTATTTGTGCTCCAAGTTACAGAGCCATATAAGACAACTGATCTTGTCAATGTTTTATATATTTTGATCTTGTTGTGAGACAGAGGCTTTGACTGTGTTGAAGGGTATAATATACTTTTTCCCCAGATTGTTTTCTAGATTGTGTTTGTATTTTAGATTGTGTTTCTTCTGTCAGCATGTTGGAGCAATTAAAGTGTACACTCAAGCACTTATGTTTCCGTTCGTTTGATTGCCATATTATAGACTTGTATGCGGCCGGAGTTTATATTCTTTCATTGTCTTCTTATTATCATTTTTATGTTTTATCTTGCTTGATAATAAGTCACATTGTATGAGCTGAGAGCCAGTGTTTTTACCGTCTCTAGTTTATTTTCTAGAACGATATCAATGTCATATCCATAACCAGGTATTCTTGTAGTTTCTCTTATAGCACACGTCTGTCAATTTCCTTTCAATTTTTTCTAGTGCCGAGCTGAAAACAAGTGGGGACAGAGCATTACCATGCTCTAAACCAGATGTTATTTCTTTTTCTTTATCTTGTTCACCGGCTGTGAGCTCCAGCGAAAAGTCCTGGTTGTTTGATCATTTGAACATTTGGCCTTGTTCCACGACATGGGTTTTACATGTACATCCGTTTTACTGTGTTGCCTGCCTCTCGGCCAGATGTAGTCCGACATCGACAGAAGACGTTGATCCTGTATCTGGGACGAACAGCTTTAAGTTTTCACACTGCAGCCGATACATAGTTTGGAAAGCTCTGCTCCAGGGTGTAATAGGTTAAGCTGTAAAGTAATTATGAGCTAATGGTGCGTTGATCTGTTTTGATTTGTTTCGAATGTGTTAACATCTTCAGTCACAGGCATATTTGTAAATTCTTATGGACATTCCGTGGTTTCCGTTGGGGGCTTAGGGCAAATGTCATAAAAGGTTGTTTAAATCGGTTGTATTTGACCGAAATCGCAGATATTGCAGCTTAGCTGAAAAGCATAACACAGTGTGCCAATTGGCCAATTGTTCCTTTAAGGGGAAAAAGGAGGGGGGGGGGAAGAAATTGGAAGCACAAATATAACAGCAGTAGCAGCAACAGTAGCAGTGGCAGCAGTAACAGCAGCAAGAGCAGTTGAGCAGCAGCAGCTGAGAAGAAGAAGAAAAAGACGAAGAAGATGATGAAGACGAAGAAGAAGAAACAGCAACAGTTGCAGGAGCAGCAGCAGCGGAAGTAATATTAGAGGTGATGGTAGTGGTGGTGTTGGTGGTGGTGGTAGTAGTAGTAGTAGTAGTAAATAGTAGTAGTAGTAGTAGTAGTAGTAGTAGTAGTAGTAGTAGTAGTATTATTAGTAGTAGAGTAAGTAGTAGTAGTGGTAGTAGTAGTAGTAGTAGTAGTAGTAGTAGTAGTAGTAGTAGTAGTAGTAGTAGTTGTAGTAGTAAGTAGTAGTAGTGGTAGTAGTAGTAGTAGTAGTAGTAGTAGTAGTAGTAGTAGTAGTAGTAGTAGTAGTAGTAGTAGTAGTAGTAGTAGTAGTAGTAGTAGTAGTAGTAGTAAATGAAAAATGGAAGAGGAAGACAAAGAGGAGGAAGAGGATGATGACTACAACGACGGTGACGAAAAGAGACATCCCGACCAGAACGAAATAGAACATTGAACCGCTAGTGACAGAAAGAATTAGAATAAAACATAACTACTCGTTTATGAATTTCTTTAGAAGATACATTTGCCACAAGTATGATGTGTCCAAAAGCATAGTACCTTTATAAGGAACCGGGAGACTGGAAACTCGTGTGTGCATAATCTGTTTAATCTGTTCCAGGGTTGTTTTCTTTGTTTTTGTCCTTTCAATTCTGATGTAGGGGATTCTAAATAACAAGTTGTAAAAACACAAGTTTAAAAATATCAGTAGAAAAAATTATATATATATATATATATATATATATATATATATATATATATATATATATATAAATATATATATATATATATATATATATATATATATATATATATAATATATATAAGGGCTGTATCGAATATTCGCTTCGTATTAGCTTCGGGGCCGAATAGTGAACTGAATAACTATTCGGTATTTGGCCGAATAGTTGCGGTCGGGCCGAATACGAATAGTGGTTACCTTACACTCGTTTCTGCATACACTGGGATGGAAAAAATAACTCTCTCATTAACACAAAAGTTGTTGTTGCCTAAGTATGTCGTAGCGGGGGAAATTGCGACCTGATTGCGTGGTACAGCAGCTGGCAAGGTCTTTGCCTGCTGACTCGACCCAGGCATTACAGCAGAGGTTCTCAAACTGGGTGCGTATGCCAGGGGTGCGAAAATCAAGAAAAGTCGGCTATAAAGTGGGACATTAATAAAGAAAGCATGAAAATACTTAAAACTTAAAATTTAAATTGTATTTTCTCGCCACTGTCGAAAAGAGGACAGACGACAGGCAATAACTGCATTTTATAAAATAAAGAACATCTTATGCCATATATCTTTGTCATTGAAGGTTAGAAAAATAATTCTTGTTTGCTACATACATCCAGTTTAAACATATGGCTGTGAGTCCTGGACAATCGGTAGGCAGGCCAAACAAGTTCTTGAGGCCTCAGAGATGTAGTTTTACAGAACAATGCT